TTTTTTATGCGGCCAAAAACATTTTGCCTGGTAACAGTAGACCAATCAAAATGATAAGTTGTATATATACAGTATATATTTTTATCGGTTGTTAAGAGCCGTTGTAATGTTGTTTGTGCACTGTTCCGGGAAAAAATCCATAAGCAACATAATTTGTGTGTTACCGATATATACGTATACTTAAAGGTAGCCGTGTTAGAGGCGCTGTTGGAGGAAAGAAAAGCATTTGTAGTATGTATTTTTGTATGTTGCCATAACGTTATGTTACCATGTTTATGTTACCTTACAGATTGAATTAAATGTTAAAAATCCTCACGTGTAATATTTCTGTGTAAATATCTCATATTACACGTGAAACGCATACGGCTTAAAATCCGGTGCGGCCTGTACAAGTAAGAAATTGATTTTCTTTCTACAATTAGAGCATGCAGCTTTTAATCAGGTGCGCTCTGTAGTCCGGGATTTACGGTATGCTTCTAGGTCATATTCATAAAGGTAGGATGGTTTGCCACGGAATTTTAGCTGTTAACGTATGCTTCTAGCTCAGATTAACAAAGGCATGACGATTTGCCACTTAATTTTTTAAGTGCACATTTGCAGAAACAACGGGTAGGATGGTTTGTCAGGTAGGAGGACTTCCCAGAACACCGGCTCGTCCGTCGACTCCAGAGGGTTAAAAAAATGTGGCTAAGTCAAGCCCGATTTTATCTCTCTCTTAATTGGAGATTGCTATACATGCATTTATTTCCTAACTCTTGGACTATTGTAACTAACTGTTTATGTGTCTAAGCAAAGGTTCTTTGTATTGTCTGCAAATTGTGCAAAACACTGCAGCTAGGCTTTTGACAAAATCCTCTAAGTATTCACATGTGACACCATTGCTATCTCAGCTACACTGGCTTCCTGTTGAATTTAGAGCCCATTTTAATATCCTGGTCTTGACTTATAGAGCTTTGCATGGACTGGCACCTGCCTACGTCTCTGATCTGCTACAGCCGTATGTCCCCAGCAGGTCGCTGAGGTCATCTGATCAGGGTTTACTTGCTATAAAACATACTAAGAGGAAAACTAAGGGTGATAGAGCTCTCCCCTCTCTCCCCAAAACATTAAAACCGTGGACTCAGTAGTTTAAACAAAAAACAAAACAAAAAAAAAAAACAACAATTCAAAACTCACCTTTTTAAAACTGCTTGGCTAATTTTTGCCTGTTTTATATTGTCCTTTTTAATCTTTTAATGACTTATCTTATGACTTGTTTCTTTTCTCTCTATCCCTTTTCTCCTCTATTTTTTCTTTCCCTCTTCTTCTGTTGACTCTTCCCAACGTCACTTTTAACCTCTCTTTCCTATCCCCAAGTCCAGTCCCGTCTGATTGTAATAACTTAAAAGATAAAGATGGAATAAACTATGACAATCAAGTGGACAGTAAAGCAAAAGGTCCACTTGTGAAAGGAAATCTTTTAGGTCTTTTTCTTGTCCTTCAGACAATAATTCTGATTGCTACAGTGCCGGACAGGAAAAAAACAAAAAATGGTTGTAATTCCCAAGCAGTTAATGGAACACAGACAAAAATCTTAATATTCACCTGAGAGTTTTCAGTATACACTGTGGAGTCTTCAATCCAGCAGACAGAAGCTGCAGTCCAGAATCCCGCAGGTTGTTATTACTCAGGTTCATCTCTCTCACTCTAGAAGAGTGCGAGCTTAGAACTGCAGACAGAGCTTCACAGCTTCTGTCTGAGAGGTTACAGCCACTCAGTCTGAAAATATATTGAACAAAAACACATTCCGCTTATATTAATGTCTTTTCACGGTGGAGTGATGAGTTAGATTTGGTCAGGTTGCAATCCTTATAGTTTTAAAGATCTCAGCAAAAAAGATCTCCATCCTCTCCAGGAAACACCCCCATGTTATGGTTACATTTTAACTTGGGCTGATGCTGCTCATTATAATGCAATATCCTCCCAATATTCTGACCGAATGCAGTTTGTTTCCTGAGCATAGAGAAAAGTGCATTTAAAGTGTATTTAAAGTGTATTTATTTATATAGTGCTTTTTTTTATCTCAAACACTGGATATTCACTCAGGTTCTGTCTGTTAGATCACGTTTACTTCACTGTTTTGTTTGTTCATTTTGGCGCAGATTAAAATTTCATAATTGCATACTTCTAAGTTTAACCGTCTCAAGGTAGGCGTTGCAGATTTGCAGCTGTTAAACACTAACAACCTGATTACCCCACATACATATTTCACGAGTTTTTTTTACTCAGAAGTACCACTGCAGGACTTGGTTGTGCATTAGCAACTAAAACTTAATTTGAGCCTAAGAGGGTTAATGTTTCACTGGATCAAGCTAGACTGAACCATTCTATTTTCTTTATATTCTGGTCTTCATATGTGTTTGATGTTTTTGTAGCCATTTTGAATTAAAAATAACATTAAAAATCTTTTTCTATCTTTTTATAATCAAGGAGGAAAGAGAAGGCACATTTCTACTGGGAGCAGAAGAGTATGAACCAGTAAATTGAAGCTGTTTGTGATTACTGAGGACTCTGCCCTGTCCAGACATGATTACATAATTATTGTTTTTTTGTTTCTTTTTGTTCAATAAGCATCTGTTGGTGGTTCGGTTTCGGTTGGTGTTCCCTTGGGGTGACTTGTAGCTCAGGAGGAAGAGCAGGTCATGTACTAATCAGAGGGTTGGTGTTTCGATCCCTGTCTGCTCTAGTCAGCATGACCAACCCTAAGATGCTCTCTGGAGCATCCATCAGAGTATGAAAGAACGTGAGTCTTAGATAGAAAGAGCATTGAGAAAAGTGCTTCTGTGAATGCGGCAAGTTGTGTAAAGCACTTTAAATGCTCAAAGTAGAGAACCACTATATAAGAATTAGTCCATTTACCATTTACTTCTTACCACTGTACATAAGCATGACAACTTAGTCTGCGACTCTAACCTACTCCAGATTAGAGATCAGCAAGCTGCCTGAATCCTGAATTCTAAAATAGTGTGATCATTCTCTAAGTCTTCATGTTTTCCTTAGCATCAGTAATATCATCAGACACAACTTGATTTCTGTTTTATGTTGACTAAAAACAATTTTACATGTATGATCTTAAAACAGGACACCTAACCTGTAATTGCTTACCTCATATCAAAATTGTATATAGACTGAGCCTATGATTATTAAATAAATAATCCATTAAATAATTAAATAAATGTTTCATTAGTTAATTAAAATTGGAATTAATTGCATTAAATGCCCATTCATTTGATTTAAAACATTTAATACATATATACTGTACAGGCAGACTATGCTAACAGGATATGATGTTCCAAAGTAGTCAAATATCAATGTGTAATATTTGTTCAAGGTACAGTTCTTTTTTGTGGAAAAAGATATGAAAATCATCATGAACAATAGGAGTGCTGAATTTATAACTGTGTGTATGTAATTTGACATTTCTTACTGATGTAGGCAAAAAATAAATACATCAACATTTAATTTAGTTTAAGGTTTATTTGCAAGATGCAAAAAAAGACAAAATTGACAGTTACAAATGTATTGTGTATAAAAGAAATTCAAACTGTGTGTCACAACTTAATCAGGCTATAGGCTATGGCACTTGGTGGTGCTAGTTGACTTGACTCCATCTGAGTGCACACTTTAGTTGTGAGGGGAAAATGCTGAAACCGGAGTAAATGTAAATGTACAAGGGGAAGATAACAAAGACGAGATTCTCCAGATAACCTCACAAATGTCAACCATGAAATATTCAGTGTTTATTTGCTGGTTTGTCGGTAGCGGCTCCTGAAAAGCAAGTCTATCACACATCTGTTTGACCATCAACAGTTAATTCGCTACACCAGTTAATCTGAAACATTGGAACACAGTTTTAAAACCTCGAATGAGAGCTAGAACTCAGTTAAACACTGGACTTAATTCACTGAGATTGTGTCTGTCTTGTAAGCACCAGCCCTCTGTTAGAACTTTCGGAGTTTACTAAAATAAAAATTAAATCAGGGTATGTTGGTGTTTTGGAGTTATGTTTAACTCTCAAAGGCTTGTCAGAAATTATCAAACACATCATCAAGATTTCTGGATGTTAGAAGAAAGCTAAAACCGCTCATCAATGACAATAAAGGCAGGAAGATGTCCTTCATAAGTAAACATGTTAATAACACCTCTAGATTAATATCATAGTTTAGAATATAGCACACGTATTTTGGAAATAACCTATTTGTTTTAGTATAATAACGGAATAGTTGGCAGTACTAAGGAGGATTTTCTGTACAAGAACATAAATATGACCCGTGAATTAGATTCATATGACCATTAGATTAGTTAGATGCTGCCAACACTTTCATGTGTCTGAGCTGGGAAACTCTGAGTTAACTGAAGAGAGCTTAAGACCTCGCTCCGTGGTCTACAGGTCTCTAAGACAGCAGCTGGACTGCCTGTTTACCCTCATGATCAATATTCACAATAAACAAGTACTGTATGACACATACTAACATAAGGAAATAAACACCCGATAGATATAACCTCAGTAAATGAAGTTGGTGTATAGTCAACATACAGTTGTGTACCAGGACCTGAGCTTGTTAGCGGTAATAACAGGTCAAGCGCTTGCGAGGCAAGCAAGTCTATCACACGCTGTGAGACAAGGCTGGGCAGACATCTCCAAAATCATCAAAGCACTTTTTGCAAAGAGGCTTGACAAACCGACCAGATATCTAAGGATTAAACCACTACATTCTCTGCAAAATAATATTACAAGTGTGTTTGGTGGCACACCAACTAGGTTTTTCAAAGTACAGATCAGTTAGTTTCTATGTGTTCCTTGTTGGCGCTGAGAAACGCCCACTGGCCTCTAGATCAAAATAATAGTTTTGACTCAAACAGCATTATAAAAGACCACCTCCATTCTAATCACCACATCGTCAACATCCTGCCCTCTGGAAAAAGGTTCAGATCCATCAGGTGCAAAAGAATAACAGCTTCTAACAGTAAATGTGTTTGTATAGCGCTTTACTAGTCCCTAAGGAGCCCCAAAGTGCTTTACACATCCAGTCATCCACCCATTTACCCATTCACACACTGGTGATGGCAAGCTACATTGTAGCCACAGCCACCCTGGGGTGCACTGACAGAGGCGAGGCTGCCGGACACTGCTGCCACCAGGCCCTCTGACCACCACCGAGACTGTCCGAGCCGGGGCTCGAACCTGCAAACTTCTGATTACAAGGCGAACTCCCATCTCTTGAGGCACAGTGGGCTATAGGAACTATTAATGCAAACTAAGGCCACCTGGGTTGGCTGGAAGACTGTTTACTTAGCCTGGCAGAGCGAAGGAAACTGTCTCAGCTGAACTATGGACACGTGCACACATACATATACTGATACTGATAAACACTCACCGACGCATCACCCTCCCTACCCCGGATCCAACGCCACCTCCAACGCTTACCTCCCCTCTGATGTGGACATCGGGTCAGTTGGAGGCGCAGTCGAAAGATTGCAACGGTCCCAGATCAGATGTACACACTGGAACTCTTTCCCATGTTGCTTGTCTGTGTTTATTGTGCTATGGTGTGTTGATATCTGTGCATTCTTGTATTATCCTTTTGTGTTACACATTTCAATGTTTTTTTCCTCGCTACCTAGCCTGACTTGTCTCCCTAATGTGATGTTTGTGTATTGTATGTACGGTCGGCAAGGTCTGTCATCTCGGTTGTGGGCAAAAGACCTGCAACTGACAAATAAAGGCTATCTCATCTCATCATCATCAAGATTGTGAACAGACTTCTCCCACATGGTCATTCTGTCACTGCTATGTCACTGCTGTACAATATTTTGTCTTACCCTTTTCCTGTGCAATATTTTCGTCCCTGGGCAATACTTTAGTCTCCGTGCAATTTTTCATTTTCTTTTTTTTTTTTTGCCTCTGTGCGGTCTTGCTGCCAAAATAAAAGTTCCAAGTTTAACTCTCCACCCTGCCCCCTGACTTTGATGGGTGAGGCTGACAGATAAAATTAATTCATGAACACAGCCGCAAGGCCAGGAGTCCCACAATGAATTAAATAAATACATCATAAAGAAATACATATCTCAATAATTAATTAATTTATTTATTTATTATTTTAAATGAAAAAATTTAGATACACTAAATCGTTTATATATTTGTTTAATTAATTCAAATTTTAATTTATTAATGAAGCCTTAAATTCATTATTTAATGTATGTATGTAAGTATTTAAATAATATTTCATCCATTTTAGCACCTATGGCTCACTGTGACTAAAAATATCAGGTAATACAACATGTATGAAACTCACCTAATTAGCTACATATTTTATTTTTTAATTTTGTTAAATAATGAAAAACTGATACCTCAGAGTTTCCAGTTTACAGAGAGGACTCTCCACTCCAGCGGACAGAAGCTTCATTCCTGAATCCTGCAGGTCATTGTTGCTGAGGTCCAGCTCTCTTAACCTAGAGTACTGGGAGCTGAGTGCTGAGGACAGAGCTTCACAGCTTCTCTCGGAGAGGTTACAAAGACTGAGTCTGAAAAGACATTCAACACAAAGACACCCCCCCCCCAAAAAAAAAAAATGTTTACAAAATGTATTCATGGTGCAGTGAGGAGTTACTAGGTTTAATAATATTTAAATTTAATCTTCTCTCTGCATTGACTGAAATCTTTATAGTTGGCTATGATTGTACTAGCGTTTTTGTGAAGTGATGAAAAGCAAATACCTGAGAGTTTCCAGCATGCAGTGTGGACTCTCCACTCCAACTGACAAAAATTTCACTCCTGAATTTTCTATGTTATTGTTACTCAGGTCCAGTTCTCTCAGACTAGAGAACTGGGAGCTGAGAACTGAGGACAGAGCATCACAGCTTCTCTCTGATAGGTTACAGCCACTCAATCTGAAAAGGAAATGATAAATGTGATTATATAAATAACCTTTAATGTTGAACAGAGACATACACATTCTTCCTCTTATCTAATTCAGGGCCATGGGAGTGGCTATTCCTGATGCAATGGGACAAGAGGCGGAGTACACCTTCAACAAGCCACCATTCACAGTTCATCCCTATTGGCAATTTAGATTCACCAATTAACCTTTACATCATGGATGGCCACTGTTGTCGCAAGACCTAGAAATTTCCTGATGACTTTTGGTGGTTGGATGAATTAGTCAGGGTGATGAGATGGAGTACAGGACTGTGTTGGACTCCTTTGTCATGTGGTGTGGGCACAATCATCTGCAGCTCAAGATGAGAAAGACCAAAGAATTGATTGTGGATGTTAGGAGGACCATGAAACCAGTGACCCGTGTTTCAGTTCATGAGGTTGATATGGAAATAGTCGAGGACTTTGAATACTTCAGCATATTTTTATTCAGCGTTTGAATAAAAGCCTTGTTTTTATCTCACCTCCTCATTATATAAATTCTTGAGTGATTGGCTATATAGTGTGCCCATTAAAGTAACGTCCCACCGCTGCATGGGCTTAAGCTTTGACTCTAACATACCAGTGGGTCATTAATAATTGACAGGTGAAATATTTCACGGGTCCAATATACTTTCAACATGGGAGAGATGTGTGCAATTTAAATCAATTTTATTTATATAGCTCCAAATCACAACACACACACTTCAAGACGCTTAATATATTAAGGTAAAGACCTGTCTCTTCAAAAATCAGATGAGATTTTTGCTTCCATTGCTCTTTCTCTTCTATTGCTTATACAATATTATTGTATTGTATACGCAATAGAAGAGAGCCAGAGATTAATAATAACTAATGATTAAATCCAGAGAGGCATATAAGCATATTGCAAGTGAAAAATAGGTAAAAGGAGAAACACTCCATGCATCATGGGAATCCCCCAGAAGCCTACAGCTATTACAGCATAACTAAGGGAGGATTCAGAGTCACCTGATCCAGCTCTAACTAGAGGCTCTGCCTCTTAATCTACTTCTAAATGGTCTAGGAAGCACAAGCAAGCCTGCAATCTGAGAGCGAAGTGTTCTAATGGGGTGATATGGTACTATAGGGCCATTAAGAAAAGATAGGGCCTGATTATTTAAGACCTTGTATGTGAGGGGCAAGATTTAAATTTTGATTCTGGATTTAACAGATAGCCAATTAATTTTTGGAAATCCTGATAGTAATGAATTTGCTTAATATGCATATTGAAGGACATATTCTGGTCAAGAACAAGTCCACAATTGCTCACAGTGTTACTGGAGGCCAACTTAATGCTTCCAAAGTAAGCATCTGGTTTGACAGGAAGATTTTTAAGGCTGAATACAATAACCTCAGTTTTATCTGAATTTAGAAGCAGAAAATTAAAAGTCATCCAGGTCTCTATGTCTTCAAGACATTCCTTCAGTTCAGTAACTAATTGGAGTATATTGTTTGGCTTTATGGATAGATAAAGTTGTGTGTCATCTGTATAGCAGTACAATTGTATGCTATGACTTCTGATGATACTGCCCAAGGGAAGCATGTATAATGTAAACAGAAAGTTGGCCCTATCATGGTACCATGTGGAATTCCATAATTAACCTTAGTTTGTGAAGAGGACTCTCTACTTAGGTAAAGGACCTTCTTGCTGTGAGGCAACGGTACTAACAACCACACCACTGTGGTATCACAGGCTGAAACAACTCATGGTTAAATTAATGCTATTAAAGTTAACTCGGGTCTATGGGGGCATTTCTTTGTATGTGTTCAGTATGTATTGTGAAAGACCATCAATTATAGCCAAATATAGTTCAAAGAAATATTAAGTTTACTATGCTCAAAAGGTCTAAATGCATTTTTGCTGTCTTCTGTTTCAGATTTAATTAACATGTACTTCAACATAGAAAAGAAAAAGCAATTCATCCCTCCACAGGTTTTCATCAGAAGCCTTCTACCACCTGTCAATGTCTACAGATTCTGTTCATAAAGATTATGAACAGAATTGGTCAAAAAGGGCAGAAAAATCAAATATAACAATAAAAAAACTAGGAACCTAACAGAACTGTCCCTCATTGGTGTTTCAGTCATGTATTGACTGTTGTTGCTTAACTGTAAAAGGCGTGTTAGATACTATTTGACAAATATCATACAATCACTGCATGCTAGAGAGAGATATTAAAAGTCATGAATGAAAACAAATGCAAGCAGGTGTCTGTTGCAGCTAAACGGATTATGATGGTCATAGTCACCAGTCATGTTTCTTTCAATTGTATTGTATAGTATTAGTGTATTATGTGCCATTTTAATATCAAATGTGAATCTAAGTTAAACTCAAGGTAAAATTGCAGCAAAGTCCACAGTGGAACCAAGTTTGGGTTCTGAGTGAATTTACCAAGTGCAATTTTGGTGTGTTTGGTATTAAAAACAATATTTTTGTACGGTGGCCCCTAAGGACAAAGCATGTACAAACTCCAAAAAGCACATACAAACTGCAAAGCACGTACAAAGTCCAATGCACGTACAAACTCCAAAATAGGTACAAACTCCAAAACCCGTACAAATTCCAAAAGCACGTACAAATTCCAAAGCACGTACAAACTCAGAAGTACGTGCAAATTCCAAAGCATGTACAAACTCAGAAGTACGTACAAACTCCAAAACACAACGGAAGAGCTCCAGGATGCTAGGGGTAGTATTGAGCTCAATATGCAAAATAAATGGCAAGTTTGTTGCAAACACATGGAGTTGGATACCGGTGGAAAAAAACTGGAAGGCTAGAACAACCACCCTCATATATACAGACGTAGACAAAATTGTTGGTACCCTTCGGTCAATGAAAGATAACTCACAATGGTCACAGAAATAACTTTAATCTTACAAAAGTAGTAATAAATAAAAATTCTATGAATCTTAACCAATGAAAGTCAGACATTGCTTTTCAACCATGCATCAACTGAAGTATTTAAAATATAAATGCATGAAACAGGCCTGGACAAAAATGATGGTACCCCTAGAAAAGAATGAAAACAATGTTACCAAAGGGACATGTTAATACAAGGTGTGTCCACTAATCAACATCACGGGTGTCTACAATCTTTTAATCAGTCAGTGGGCCTATATATAGGACTCCACATTTTTATTAATCCTTTATTTATCCAGGTAAAAAATCTCATTGAGATTAAAAATCTCATTTCCAAGAGAGACCTGCCAAGAGAGACATTCAATATGGACTAGAGGAATCAAAGAGAAGAGTTGTCTGAGGAGATTAGAAAGAAAATCATAGAAAAGCATGTTAAAGGTAAAGGCTATAAGACCATCTCCAAGCAGCTAGATGTTCCTGTGACTACAGTTGCACATGTCATTCAGAAATTTAAGATCTACGCGACTGTAGCCAACCTCCCTGGACGTGGCCGCAGGAGGAAAATTGATGGGAGATCAAAGAGACGGATAACCTGAATGGTAACAAAAGAGCCCAGAAGACTTCTAAAGAGATCCAAGCTGAACTTCATGCTCAAGGAACATCAGTGTCAGATTGCACCACCCATCGTTGTTTGAGCCAAAGTTGGTTACATGGGAGATGACCAAGGAGGACACCATTGTTGAAAACAAATCATAAAAAAGCCAGACTGGAATATGCCAAACTACATGTTGACAAGCCACAAAGCTTCTGGGAGAATGTCCTGTGGACAGATGAGACAAAAATTGAATGTTTTGCCAAGGCACATCAGCTGTATTTTCACAGACGAAAAATGAAGCATATCAAGAAAAGAACACTGTCCCAACTGTGAGACATGGAGGAGGCTCGGTTATGTTCTGGGGCTGCTTTGCTGCATCTGCCACAGGGTGTCTTGAATCTGTGCTGGGTACAATGAAATCTCAAGATTATCAAGGGATTCTAGAAAGAAATGTGGTGGCCAATGTCATAAAGCTTGGTTTCAGTCTTAGGTCATGGGTCTTACAACAGGACAATGAGCCAAAACACGCAGCTAAAAACACCCAAGAATGGCTAAGAGGAAAAATTGGACTATTTTAAATTGGCTATCTATGAGCCCTGACCTCAATCCTATTGATCATCTTTGGAAGGAGCTGAAACATACAGTCTTGAAAAGGCGCCCTTCAAACCGGAAACAACTGAAGCAGTTTGCTCATGGGGGGTGGGCCAAAATACCTGCTAAGAGGTGCAGAAGTCTCAATGACAGTTACAGGAATCGTTTAACTGCACTGATTGCCTCAAAAGGTTGTTCAACAAAATATTAAGTTGTGGGTACCATCATTTTTGTCCAGGCCTGTTTCATGCATTTATTTTTTAAATCATTCAGTTGACACATGGTTGAAAAGCAATGTCTGACTTTCATTGTTTAAGATTCATAGAATTTTTATTTATTATTACTTTTGTCAGATTAAAGTTATTTCTGTGACCATTGTGAGTTTTTCTTTCATTGACTGAAGTGTACCAACCATTTTGTCTACGTCTGTATTCAAATAATTAAAAAAAAAACATGTTCATTTACCTGTTACTACCACACACCAAATCCAGTCGTTGGTACTTCCTGGCTTGTGTAGCTACTAGGTAACAAAAGCTCAACTCTGCCCCTAGCGTAATGGATGCACTGTTGTGTTTTAGAGTTTGTATGTGTTTTGGAGTTGGCATGTGTTTTGGAGTTTGTACGTGTTTTGGAGTTTGTACGTGCTTTAAAATTTGTACATGCTTTGGAGTTTATACATGTTTTGGAGTTTGTACGTGCTTTGCAATTTGTACGTACTTCAAAGTTTGTATGTGTTTAGGCGTTTCTACGTGCTTTTTGGAGTTTGTACGTGCTTTGGAGTTTGTAGGTATTCGGAATTTGTACGTGCTTCTGAGTTCGTGCTTCAGAATTTGTAGGTGTTTTGGAGTTCTTATGTGTTTTGGAGTTTTTACATGTTTTGGAGTTTGTACGTGCTTTGGAATGTGTACGTGCTTTGGAATTTGTATGTACTTTGGAGTTTGTATGTGTTTCTGCGTTTGTAGGTGTTTTGGATTTTTTTTACGTGTTTTGGAATTTGTACGTGCTATGGAATGTGTACATACTTCGGAGTTTGTATGTGTTTCGGCGTTTGTACATGCTTTTTGTGAGTTTCTACGTGTTTTGGAGTTGCTACGTGCTTTGTCTCTAGGGGCCACCGTATTTTTGATATTAGTCCAGTGATACATGATGCTGCAGTAACTTGTAGGCTCAATAATAATAATAATATTAAGAATAATAATGATAATACATTTTATTTTAAAGCACCTTTCAGATTTCCATCAAATCAGTGCATCCATAATGGATAGTTGGTATTAGTGGAGGCATTACATTTAATGATACATTTTATAGGGTTTATAATCTCAGGATATATGAAAAGATCACATGTTTACTTACCGAGCTTTGTTGGAGGCTTTGACCACTGGCAGCAGCCTCAGAAGAGCCTCCTCTGAAGCAGAGTATTTCTTCAGGTCAAACACATCCAGATCTTTTTCTAATGACAATAAGATGAATGTCAGAGCTGACCACTGAGCAGGAGACAGTTTATCTGCGGAGAGATTTCCTGATCTCAGGGACTGTTGCATCTCATCCACTAGAGAACGATCATCTAGTTCATTCAAACAGTGGAGCAGATTGATGCTTTTCTCTGCAGACAGATCCTCACTGAGCTTCTTCTTGATGTACTGGATTGTTTCCTGATGGGTCTGTGAGATACTTCCTGTCTGTGTCAGCAGGCCTCGTAGGAGAGTCTGATTGGTCTGCAGTGAAAGACCCAGGAGGAAGCGGAGGAACAAGTCCAGGTGTCCATTTGGACTATGTAACGCCTTGTCCACAGCACACTCATAAAATATCTTTTCTGAAGACTCTGCTTCTCTTGATTCTTGTTTTCTAAATAATAATAACAACTTAGCGGTTGTTTGTTGCTCCAGCAGATTGACTCCAGAGTTGATGAAGGTCAGATGGACATGAAGAGCAGACAGAAACTCCTGAACACTCAGATGGATGAAGCAGAACACCTTGTCCTGGTACAGTCCTCTCTCCTCTTTAAAGACCTGTGTGAACACTCCTGAGTACACTGAGGCTGCTCTGATATCGATGCCACACTCTGTCAGGTCTGATTCATAGAAGATCAGGTTTCCTTTCTGCAGCTGATCAAAAGCCAGTTTTCCCAGAGACTCAATCATCTTCTTGTTCTCTGGATTCCAGCATGAATCTGTCTCAGCTCCTCCATCATACTTGATGTCCTTCGTTTTTAGGTAAAATAGCACAAAGTGTATGTAGAGCTCTGTGAGAGTCTTAGGCAGATCTTCACTGTCACTGGTTTTCAGCTCATCCTCCAGAACTGTAGCAGTGATCCAGCAGAAGACTGGAATGTGGCACATGATATGGAGGCTTCGTGATGTCTTGATGTGGAAGATGATCCTGCTGGCCTGCTCCTCATCTCTGAATCTCTTCCTGAAGTACTCCTCCTTCTGTGGCTCATTGAACCCTCTGACCTCTGTCACCCTGTCAACACAGTCAGGAGGGATCTGATTGGCTGCTGCAGGTCGTGTGGTTATCCAGAGGTGAGCAGAGGGAAGCAGTTTCCCCCTGATGAGGTTTATCAGCAGCACATCCACTGAGGTGGACTTTCTAGGGTCAGTTAGGATTATAGTTTTGTGGAAGTCCAGAGGAAGTCGACACTCATCCAGACCATCAAAGATGAACACAACCTGGAAGTCTTCAAAGCTGCAGATTCCTGCTTCTTTGGTTTCAATAAAGAAGTGATGAACAAGTTCCACCAAGCTGAACTTTTCCTCTTTCAGCACATTCAGCTCTCTGAAAGTGAATGGAAATATGAACTGGATGTCCTGGTTGGCTTTGTCTTCAGCCCAGTCCAGGCTGTATTTCTGTGTTAAGACTGTTTTCCCAATGCCAGCCACTCCCTTTGTCAGCACTGTTCTGATTGGTTCATCTCTTCCAGGTGAGGCTTTAAAGATGTCTTCCTTTCTGATTGTTGTTTCTGGTCTGTCTGGTTTCCTGGATGCTGTTTCAATCTGTCTGACCTCATGTTCATCATTGACCTCTGCAGTCCCTCCCTCTGTGATGTAGAGCTCTGTGTAGATCTGATTAAGAAGGGTTGGGTTTCCTGCTTTAGCGATCCCCTCAAACACACACTGGAACTTCGTCTTCAACTTAGATTTAAGTTTGTGTTGACAAACTGCAGCAAACATTTCTAAATAAACAAAATGAGAGTAAAGTACATTACTTTCTGTTCTGTTCATATTACTATCTTTACCTTACAATATACCTTGAGGTGACTGTTGTTGTGATTTTGCATTATATAAATTACATTTAATTGAATAATAATCTTATCTTAAAGAATGAGTATTTGAATACATGTTGGTCCATCTCTTGAGGCAATACTAAATGTTTCATTCATCCACCACTCTAAATCTTCTTACTGCTCTGCAGACGGTCAGCCAGCTCCTCCTGCTTCATTCTCCTCAGGAAGTCCACTGTGATCTTCACAAATGCCTCTCTGCTGCTGCTCCTCTGCTCATCATCCTCCCTCTTACTCTCTAAGCATTCTGGGTATACTGGACTCAGAACCTTCTCGATCTTCTTCAGCTCGTTCTTCACAAATGTGATGATGTGTTCCTCCAGCAGCTGGAACAGAATACTTTACGAATGAGCCAATCAGACTGAAATCATGGAGCCAAACATCAGATCCATGTTGGACACACTGACAATCCACTTTTCTACCAAGAGCAGCATGGAGATGATTGTAAATAGAATAGATGTAAAAGTAGTTGTACATATACAGACCATAAATATGGAGTCCAGGTGTGTTTGATCCTGCTGGGCAGACTGACCACCGGGAACCTCTGAGCTCTCCTGGTCCACTCTGTGAGGGAATCATAAAGAGTTAGTTCTTTCACAGGATAAAGATCTGCAAGAAAATCAGCTTTGCACCCCCTCCAAGTGTCTCAAGATCCAAAATTTGGTGGTGTTTAACACAATTTCCTTCTATTAAGAAATCTGCCTATCATCATATGATGTGTCAAAGGATATAACAACTGGGAGGAGACCCCCAGGACAAAATAAATGGTTCAAATGATTTCCTGCCCATGGTTAACCCTAAACCTGGTCTTGCAATGTCACTGTAATGGCAACAGATGAAAGATGCTGTTCGAATTTCACTGAAATAATTTTTTTTAATATTGTTTGAAACAGACTGAGGACATTATGACTGCACAAAATCTTTTTTTTTTAGTATGAATCAAAATATGTGAGAAATATACTTCATGGGTATATGTGGTATATAAAAACCTTTTCTTTGATTTTAACATGGTTTTTTTTCTGTTTTTCATTTATATGCGAGAAGATGTCATAAGCTATATAGTTTCTTAAACAGATTCCCAACTATATTGATGAGACTGAGTTTTAGTTTTGTGTTCACATATCTGGAAATGCAGTCACCAAACTGTTGCAATATAAAGGTGATGCTCCACCTTACACATGCTCTGATTCATATTTATATATTGTTATGGCAGGGCGTGGTCTACGATGTGACTGCGAGGGAGGAGCAACCTTAAATAAAAGTATATGTTGAAAAGCATGAAAATGTGGTTGGGTCTGTTGTGGATTGTTTGAAATTGTGTTCTTTGGAAGTAAATTCTGATCTTCACCAATAAATTATTAATCAGCCCTGACTGACACTGAACTCTTTAGTCTCAAAATTTGAATAAAAAGGCTAACACGCCATGAGACTGCAGTTGGTTACCATTTGGATACCATGTATTACTACAGTTTAACTGTTAGGATGTTTATGGTGCAGAGATGCAGGATTTTATCTTTAATATCTGAAGTGACCAAAAAATGTTTAAACTTTTCTTTCTCATGGATTTGTAAGATCTTTCTTAGGGTTGATGGTAAAACTCTGATGTAGTGACAATGAAGAACAGTGATAATGAAGCTGTTGCGGTTTGACAGTCCTGGCCAGGCGGTGTCAGTGTTGGTGTGTGTTTTTCTCTCCTTCACCCTGTCTGTCTCCCTATCTCTATATTTATGTTTTGATGGAAGCGCATGCTTCCACAAGCCTGGGCACCGGGCGACGTTCAACCCGGAAGCATCTCCGCGCTGAGCTCATCCAGTGTAGTCTAAGTGCACTAAAGACACAACTTTGACATGGATACCATCACACACACAGTAGTTCTGTTGTGCATCAGAGCTTCCACAGTTATTTTTGGTAATAACCAGAGTTTTCATTTTCATTATTTTAGCTGCCGTCACACAGGCCTTTGTTGTATTTTACTGGAGCCATTAAGTGTCTTTAAAACTTATACCAGACAGCACTGAACAGACACAACCTTTTGGGACCACACAATAAGTTTACCTTATTGTCTCTGAGCTACTTGTTTTTAACACAGTCTATGTTAAACTAGCAGTAACACAAAGTAACCAACAGAGGGAGCAACATTTTTTGTCTCTGCAGTTAAGGTTACGCTCATTTTCCCCAGCAGAACAGTAAGCATATGTGTTAGCAGCATGCTATAATGCTCTGCTAAGTACTGACACAGTTAGGGGCAGGACTATGTTTAGCTCAACTCTTATTGGTGGACATTGTCATTGGCTTGTAAACCTGTGAGGTAGGCTTGTTGCAAGATGGCTGAAAAAATGGCATCAGCAAGGGGCTTCATGATTTACTCCTCACAGTTTATCAAAACATCATAAGTCAGCAAATGTGGTTTTTCGGGTTATGGATCAAGTGAAACTTTTTTAACTTGGTTCTGTTCACTTTTTTTCTTTTTAAAGTATCTAAAATAATACAATGGTACAGTTACACAAAAGAGGAGGAAAATACTTTATTAAATTAGTAATTTAAACAGATTTTATGATCTTTTATAGTAGCGTGTTCTGCTGTTTTATTTTTTAATAACTCACATTATGAAAACTGATTCACAAGAAAAAAAATCTGTGATCATGAACAAGAACCACAGTTTTTTAAAAAAGAGTAAAATTGAAAGGATTATTATAAAATCTATAAATGCAAGCCAAACGAAAAAAATAGTATTTTGTTAGGTTTTTTTGTTGTTATTTTTAGCTTTATCTGGGCAACACTGATTAGCACTGTTACCTCATAGCAAGAAGGTCCTGAATTCAATTCTACCATCAGGCCGGAGTCTTTCTGAATTTGCACAGGGATAAACAGGTTATGATTGTGCAGGTGAAATAAAAGATCAAGATTCACACCTCACAGTTTATCAACACATTTGTACTGTCTAAATGTGGATTTTCAGGTTAAGGATTTTTAATGAATAAACTGACAGCTTGAAATTGAGTTCTGGTCCCTCATGCTGGTGTTTTTAAATATCTGTAATGATTAAATGTCACGGTTTTTTGTTTTTTTCAAAAATAGAGGAAAATAAATTCATTAGATTTAATTTAAACAGATTGTATGCTTTTTATTATTATTGTGTTCTGTTGTATTTAATTAAATAAGCAAAAAATTCTTTATATACCACCTTGGCAAATATAAAAAATCACAAAGTGCTTCACAATGGATAACATAAAGAAAACTGATTAACACAAAAAAAACCCTGTGATCGTGAACAAGAACCATAATTTAAAAATAAAATTATTGTTTTAAATCATTAAAAGCAGCCCAAACAGTTATGATAACTATTATTTTCAGTTTTAGAGTCAGTTGACATGTTTGCATTCAAGTAAGAGTAAAATTCAAAGGAAAATCTGTCAATGAAAACATGTGTTTATATTTTATTGTCCTAGGCAACAATTTATTTTAGTTTTAGATTGTCAGATCTTTAACTTTATTTTTTACAGTATTTAAAAGTGCAGCTTTTACTTTTAGGGGAACTGTTTGTGTTTTTCAGGAAAAAAGCTCAAATGTGAAATAAGCATCCTTCAGTCCACTGAACTGTATCATATCTTCACACACACTGACAATGAGACAAATATTTAATACCATTTAGACACAGATCAGCATTTGAAAAAAGTCGTAAATACCCTCTCAAAATGCATCTCTCATTGTACAACACACAAATATCAGAAAGACTTTGTGAACTTTAGAGATTAGATTACATTAGATTAGATGAAACTTTACTAATCCCTTGGGTGGGTTTCTCCGCTAAATTTGGTTTCCAATAGCACAGCACTACGGTGGCCCCTAGAGACAAAGCACGTACAAACTCCAAAACACTTGCAAACTCCAAAACACATGCAAAATCCAAAACACTTGCAAAATCCAAAACACTTGCAAACTCCAAAACACATGCAAATTCCAAAGCACAACGGAAGTGCTCCAGGACGCTAGGGGCAGTGTTGAGCTCGATTTGCAAAATAAACGGCAAGTTTGTCTGTATGGGACGGTCTAGTCTCCGTCGCGCTTCCCAGGTTGCCTAGCAACCATGATACTAACCACTGGAAACATGTCATACAACTTGGTTTGACAGAAATGAAGGAGAACATATTTTGTTCATTTGTTTGTTTGTTTCTACAAGAGCTTTGTGTGATTTGATAAGTATCTGAGGCTGAGACCACAGGACAGTAAAACATGATTTTTGGGCTTCATTTCTGTACTGAACAGTCATTTAAGATTAGTTAGTAAATAACAATTAGCTCATGTTGTTCATGGACTAAAGTCATATCACTTTGGTAATGTAAATATAATATGGCCAATATTATAGTTATTATATTAATCATTATTAGCTATTACAGCAGTGAACATGAACTCTGTGCCAAATACTGAGCTTCAGTACAGATTCAAGTTGCAGTTATTTGTATGTCTTATCACCTTAAATGTTCACTCAAAGACAAGTATCTTTGACAGTGCATATATAGGTGTTGTCAGGGTTCCTGGGTCGGTGACCCAGTGTTTTCAGTTCACACTCACTGTTTATCTACTGCCTGTTCCACTTCCTGTTTTATTGTGTTAGCCTTGGTCTGTGTGTATTATGTTCA